GGCGTGGGGCGTCCGGTGGGCGGGCCCGACCGGGCGAGGGGCGTCCGGTGGGCGGGCCGGACCGGGCGTGGGGCGTCCGGTGGGCGGGCCCGACCGGGCGTGGGGCGTCCGGTGGGCGGGACGGACCTGGCGTGGGGCGTCCATTGGCCGAGCGGGATCGGGCGTGGGGCGTCCGGTGGGCGGGCCCGACCGGGCGTGGGGCGTCCGGTGGGCGGGCCCGACCCGGCGTGGGGCGTCCGGTGGGCGGGCCCGACCCGGCGTGGGGCGTCCAGTAGGCATCCGGTGGGCGTACCGTAACAGGCGTGGGGCATCTAGTAGGCGTACCCTAACAGGCGTATGGCATACAGTAGGCGTACCGTAACAGGCGTATGGCATCCAGGAGGCGTACCGTAACAGGCGTATGGTATACAGTAGGTATACTGTATACAGTAGGTGCTCAGTGACTTACTGAATGAGTTAGAACCTGAGACACTGCACCCATGCCCCTGAGACGCAGGATCATCTGCCCCCCAGCATGGGTCCCTTACCATCTACTTGCTGCTTCTCTCCTCTGGACCCCATGTGCCTCCCAGCTTAGCTCTGCAAAGCAAGGACTGACGTTTCTGCTCAGTTACAGATGTCGGCAAACTCCGACCCCCGGTTCCCATCTGACATTTAACAAGCCCCTGGCAGCTGAGTGCACCATATTCTCCCTCCTTTGATAACTGGTTTTCCCTAAATAATAGTCTCGAACACAGTGTTCAGTGACACTGTACTGATGTAGGGCCGGGGGGCACGCGCAGCACGCGCCCCTGCCCCAAACGCTACATGGTTTCCTTACACACTTCCTGGATGAACAGCAGGCCCCCAGGAAGCATGCAGGGACGTCCCACTGCGAGGACGACTGAAGCCTCCCGGGCCACTTGTCATTAGGAGACTCTGGCCAGGACAGGAGTAGAACCCAGGGCCCTGAACAGATAAGCCCCTAATCCAGCCTTAGGAAACCCTGAAGGGGGCCTGGAAGTGGCCAACACCATTTACTAAGCCCCACAGAAATCCCTTAGCATTAAATTGGGCAAATAGGAGCTCTTCCTCAGCTAACTGCCTCCCTCCTCCCCTCCCCTCTCCAACCTGCACACTCTCACACAGGCTGAGGACGGCCCCCCACCGTCTGGAAAGGGAGCCCAGGACGGTGCCCTCGGGGTCCCCGCCGGCCTTTTCAGTCAGGCCCAGCACCGTGGGATCGTCCTGAACATCAACAGAAACACTGAAAATCAAACTTGCTTCAGAACCACACCAGCTGGATGCACTGAATGCACGAGAACAAACTACTTAGGGTTCGGGTGTTGGTTTGTTTTGCCACTTTACGCTGAAGCGTGCAGAGGAACAGGCAGCATTTCTCGTGCATTTCCTGTGGGCCAGGGCCTGTCCTCACAATGACCAGAGGTGGTGGGTGATGCT